TAAGTCATTTTCTTTGAAGCTTATTTGTGATTCAATTTTGTTCTGGATGCTAATTGTTAAGTAATATCATTTTTTGCTTATTTTTGTTTTTTACTTTTCAATATTTACTTCATTGTTTTTCAAAAAAATCGTGACTAATATGAATTATACAAGTTGTGACTAAATTTCTATTGTTTTTCATGTTACTAGTTTTGTAACAATTTGTTACGAGTTTAGTAGGAAAAAAGTCACAAATAAAGACGAATTGTGACATTTGTGTGACTATGATCTCTTTAATTGTGACATTATTTCGGTCGCGTTTTGTGACGGATCGGTGATTCTAATGTGGTAAGAAACTGTGACAAATAAGTGACAATATTTTGGCCACAGTTTGTGACAAATTTGTGACAAGCTAGTCTAGTTACGATTTGTGTCGTTTTTGTGATTGTTTTCATATCGTCACAATTTGTGACGAATTGTTACCAATATTATAATGTTATAAAATTTTGTGACATTTTGAGACTTAAATGGATTTGTGAGGATTTTATTGTAACTTTTCCGAATTGGAATCAATTTTGTCACAATAAAAATTTTGTGACGAAATATTCATATATTGTGACAAAAAAAATCGTAAGAATATTGACTCGTCTTTTTCTCATTCAATATGTTTTTCAAACTGCGGTGTACGTTATATGGCGAGAAAGAAATGCTCGAAACCATGGAGAAGAGCCAACCTCTGTGCAGCGACTTATCCAAAGTATTGATAAACAGATTTGGAATCGGCTCTGTTCGATTCGAGGCATTGCACCCGAGTTTGATGGAAACCTAGTGCTTTGGTTTGAGACACGAGACTCGTGATAGAGAGATCAACACGAATCGTACTCAATTTCTATTTTGATAAAAACTTCAATACCATGTAACACTTATGTAAAAACGTTTTTTTGGTTTTGAATATAATTTTACATTTAATTAAAAAAAATCAATATTGACTTTTTTTTTGTAGTGAATTGGCTTGAGAAATGCTGATTCACATATTCGAAACAAATTCGAAACGATTGCAATATACTTTTGTGTTTTCATATATTTATTACTGTACGTCGAAATAAACACGAACGTATCATATATTTTATTAGAAATGGATACGATAATAGTATATTACTACTAGTTTAATTTGGCTATCAATGGTCTAATCTCTACTTGAAATAATTTCAGTGGTCCCTTACCAACGATCTAGCATTCAACTAGAACAAGATCGGCTTTATTTTGATTTATTTTTCACCGTCAAAAGCCGTATTTACATTTTACACAAAACAAAAAAAAACACTTGCACATTTCCAAACTAAACGAGATGATTCATACCACGCGCGTGAGACCAGAGCTAAAATCGAGCGGAGAAAAAGCCAAATGGTGTCAAATCTTTCAAGACAAAAGCCAAGAAACCATCTCGTTTTCCTCATCAAGACTCAACGGTTCTCCGAAGTAAGTAGATTCCCTTTGTCTAATCTTGGATTCCATTTCTCCTTTCTCTAACATACATGACAAAACCGAATCAGGAGCTTCTTTTTCTTCCCAAAGGTTCTCACCTTGATCTTTCCAAACAAAGTCCCATTCACCGAAGTCATCAGCGATCGTATCGTTATTATTCTCGTGCTCAGTGGAGAACAAACCTCTGTTTGGTTCAGAGTCTTCTACCACATTGTTGTTAGACTCAGATGATAACACGTGTACGTCATCAACAGGCTCGTCCAGTAGAAAACAAGTACCAAAAATGTCGTCATTGTAACACATAACTCCATCGTCGCCATTAATGCTCGTGTTACAATAACCATTGTCACCATAGTCACATGGTCCTAAACCACCTTCCTCGGCCCCACTTACGCTACTACTTGACAAAACCATTAATGCGTCTTCTTTTGCAGGAACGGGTAAAACTACGTCGTTTTTGCTTTCTTTATGAGAATTAGGGTTTTTGCGGTTTTGGATGATTTTTGGCTTCATGGCAGATCTGCTGGTTCTACCGGTTCTACGTTTTCGTGGCTGTGGCGGAGACGGAGGCGGAGGAGCATTTTCGACGACGTTGAAGACCGTTGATTTAATGAAGAAATGGTGGAGTTTACGGCGGAGATGAGAATTCCAGTAGTTTTTGATTTCGTTGTCTGTTCTGCCTGGTAGATTACTCGCAATTATGGACCACCTGCAGTAATTAAGGGTTAACGTTTTTTGGTTGTTAAATCATTTACCAGACCGGACGTAGTAACAAATTTGCCAAAGTGTTTTCATCTAATAGAAAACGTATTAATTTGCTATGCATTAATGGGAATGACCAGTGATTTCTTGACTATTTAATCACAAATGGAATATTTACGAAATGCTTAAAACTCAACTTTAAAAAGAACTAGATAGCGAGAGGTATTATTATACTCATAGAAACAAGCGAAAGGTATTATTATACTCATAGAAATATAAATGAGCTCATATATAAAAAAATTACCTGTTTCCCAAAGTAGAATGCAACTTAACAATGATCTCTTCTTCTTCTAGAGTTATGTTTCCTCTCTTGAGGTCTGATTTCAGATAGTTTATCCATCTCAATCTACAGCTCTTTCCACATCTTTTTAGCCCTTTTTTAATCAATTTATTCAAAACAGACATCACGTCAGATTTAAAGTCATAACAAAGTCAAGCC